TTTTTTAACTTGCAAAGAATATATATAGTATAATTTACATATAGGTTTTAGATAGAAGATGATTGAAGTTCAACTAAGCTTAAGTTATGATCTTTTGTCTGTTAAATTTTTTAACTCGCGGTGAATATATTTTGTATAATGATTAACGTTTCAAGTACACCTCATCCAATTCTAGGGGTAAACGATCGTTAACTAGTATAAAACCCAATGAAAGGTTGGGTCAAACCCACAGGGAGCAGTACATGTTCAAATTCAATTATGAAGTGCAAACGTGGTCTAATCAGTTATAGGAATAGAAATTATCGAAAACATACAAACAAACAAATCTAAAGGGGTGACAACAAATGTCATATGGGGGGTTTGGATTTGCAATTATGAGCTACTGTTAGTGAAATACTTACAAGATAACAAAATAACAACATTACAATTGAAAATGAAATGAAGAAATAAAAATCTCTTCCGGCTGAGGCGCGGATATCTCGCTCTCTTTAAGGAGATTCAAACCCACTGCAGCAAATGTTTTCACCGGTCCAGCAGTAGTCCTTCTTGACTTGTCCCCTCCAGGATACAACAACCTTAACACAAAGTATAACTCAATAACTCTAGACAAGAGTTGAATCCAAAGCTCCACAAAAAGAATACCTCCCTTCAACTAATAAGAACTCTCTTTTTTGACTAACTTTTTCCTCTCTATATTTTTCTTGTGTGTTGTGTGTAACAGATCAAATGATGACCACCCCTATTTATACTAGAAGAAGTCTTCCTAGCAATGAATAGGAAGATAAATGGTGTAGTAAATAGTGTAATAGCCTTAGGAGTTACATATGTTACAAGGTATAATTGAGGATAATGAGTTAAGTAATGTGAGTGCATCCAATGCCACTAACGGGCAGAATGAAGAGTTGTACAATGGCACAATAATGTGCACCAAATGAAAATGTCAGAAACGGCAGAATCAATGTAATTAAGCCTCACAATTCAATGATTCCAAGGATAATAATAAAGAGACTAACGTTCTGGAAATGGAATGTGCATCTTAACTATAATTTTATAATATTAAAACTCTCCAAAACCAACAGCTACAACGCAATCAAGCACTAAGGAAATAACAATTTAGAGAAGGATTTTTGCGATGTGATCGATTATAAGCAATTTTCACGTATGGGTAATTGAAATTACTAATAAATAGCTAAATATCAGCGGATAGGCTAAACTATAGATGCAATAGCTTTCTCTCGAACAACTATTAGGAATAAGGTGATTTCTTTCGAACATCAACAAGCTTAGCAAATAAGAACAACCCACACCTTAATTCATCCACTCTCTCGAGCTAGATGGGTAGAATCAGATTTAGAATTTACTCTTTCGAGCTAAACCTATATCAACCCAATAACTACAATCATCAATTGAAAACCTTGATTCTAAAACCTCTTTTTCAAGCAAGCATAGAATTCTAAGTTCGAATTGCATTTGCAACTACAATTCTTAGTTTAAAACACAACTATCAATTAAACCCACTTCAACTAAGCATTTAAATTAGTAATTAACAATACCCATAAGCTTATTCATCCCATAATCACATGATCACACCCAAAGAATTGAGGTTTTAGCTAAACATCATAAAAAGGTAAAAACAATTACCAACTCGATTAGCTATCAGCTGAGTAAGAGTCTCCAAGCCTTTACAATGTTTTCCAAGGGTTAAATTCAAAGGCCCACTTTCAAATCCTCAAAATTAAGCTTATAAATCCTCAAAGTCTATAATAACAATTGAAAAACTAAGAGAAAACTCTAATTCTAAAACTTGGGGATCCAAAAACTAAAAAATCCTGAGAACTTCATTTAAAATCCAATTTATAGTTGCCTGCGTTTTGGCCTAAAAGTCCACTCGGCGGAATAAGTCGTGCCTCGCCGAGTGGTTCAGAGATCCACCGTTTGCTCTCTTCCATCGCCATTTTGCATTGGTTCTTAGCATCCCAAGTCCTGTAACTTTGGGCGATCCAGTTTGGTATCGTGAACCGATCGGCGATTCGCCGACTGCCCATTTCTGTCACCAACTTGATTTTTTTCAAATCCTCTCTGTTTCAGAAAAACCTATTCTATGTCTTGTGGAAGATTGACCCTTTTGGATGCTATCGAGTAGTATGGAGGATCTGGTCCATCTCATGCTGTGCTCTGCTTCCATTTTGGTCATGTGAAGTTTCTTCCGGAGAAGTTCATTTTTTACGGTTATGGATTGAAATTCTTTGTTCAACTCTTTTAGCTTCTTGTGAAAAAGACGGTTTTGTTGTTCTAAGATCTCATTTTCATCTCTTAATGATGCATAGTCATCCATTAACAGATCTCTTTCGGAACAGGTTGATTGGTATGCATTTATGAGAGTATGTAACAGAGATTCTAGTTTTCTTTTTGAGTAAGAGTCAAGATTTTCTTTAATGTGATGCTGACTAACCTGATCCTGCTTGTCCTCTTCTTTTTCTTTAGAGTCTGACCCAGCCATCAATGCCTGAATTGTCTCTGACAACTATTTTCCTTTTCCTCTGGTTCAACTATGGCTACTAGTGCAAGGAAGTCATATTTGTCAGTTTGCTCGATTGCAAGTAGGGATTGATTTTCAATTTCCTCATCTTCAGACTCATCTTCTGACATGCCTCCCAGTGTAGCAAATGCTTTATTCATTGAGAGATCAACCTCTTGGTTAGTCATCCTCCTGTTGGTAGGAATATTTGTCACCCTTAACATCCTTTTGTTTTGTCCGAGTTATTCTTTTTATGTTCTAAGGACCAGAGTGGACATAATTTAATTAAATGATCTGGACTTCCACATTTATGGCATAGTTGCTCTCTCAAATTTTCAGCTGCCTTTTGAGGACTTCTTCTTTGAAATATTTGTCCTCTTTTTAACATTTTGGAGAACCTCTTTGTCATAAGTGCAATATTCTTATCCTCAAAATCTTGAGGTGTTGTGGCTTTCAGAACCAACTTTTTCTCCATTCTTTTACTGCCAATTTTTTTTCTTGATTCTTCTTTAGTTCATATGTCATGAAATCTCCAATAAGCTCATCCATGGACAGTTTATCTAGATCACGTACTTCAGTGACGACTTCCACTTTAATTTCCCACGATGATGGTAGAACACTTAAGAGTTTTCTAACAGCTTTTCCATTTGGAATTACTTCTCCTAACGAGTAAATCTCATTAATGATTGCAGTGAACTTGGTATGCATATCTTGAATTGTTTCTCCTTCCATCATTCTGAACAGTTCATATTGTCGATTTTAGATTTCTTAACCTGAGTTGTTCCTTCGTGTGTAGTCTATATAGTTTCCCAAAATCAACTTTGCATCCTCGCATGATGAAATTCTATTGTACTCATCTGGTCCTATACCGCATATTAGGATTTTTTTTAGCTTTGGCGTTATTTTGAATGGCGAGTTTGTTTGCAACATCCCATTCTTTCCTTTCCATTGGTACTAGGGTGATTCCATCGTCTCCTTTCTTCATGGGTATGGTAGGTCCATCCAGGACTACGCTCTAAAGATTGAGATTTTTGCCCATCAATTAATCCATCATACAATTTTTCCACCCTCCATAGTACTTTCCATTGAATAGTGGTGGTCGAGTTTGAGAAGCTCCTTCTTGCGGGGTAGATGGTGCTGCCATTGATTCTTTTCAAGATGTGAGTCTTTTAACGAAAAGACCTGCTCTGATACCAATTGAATAAACCTTACCCAGTATTCAAGAACCAGGTTCTTGAATATTACACACGATACTTTATGTTTAAAGAACAATAACACCAATGTATCGTGGAAACCTTCCTAACTCTAGGAAGAGAAAAACCACATCGAAGTTTTATATTAATTCAAGATTTACAACTCAGTTAATCAATGAATCTAACTCTAAACTTCTATCCTTTCCGATTAACTCTAATCAAACAACCCTGAACTCTCCAAGAAGTCAAACTCGCTTCTTGTTACAACAAAACTCTCAAAGACTCTCTCTTAATTCTAACCCCAAAAAGTCAAACCCACTTCTTGTTTACAATTCTCACAAACTCTCTCAAAACTCTCACAAACATTGATTCAACTATGAATCAATGCGACTCAACTATTTTGAAAGAAATCCTAACTCTAGAATTCTTTTGTTCTCTACTTCACGAACTCTTTGGCCTTCGTTATGATTCTCTCTCTCACTTTTTCTGTCTTTTCTCAATTGCCAAAGACGACTTCTTCTTTGTTCTCCGCTGTCCTTTTATAGAGTCTGAATTTGCTTCAAGTCTAATTTGTATAAAAAGAGAAGTTATAGTTGTACCAGGAAAAGAGTTAGAGATTTCCTTAAATTTGAATCCTTCTTCCTTCTTTGTACAAAACTTCTTCTTTTATTATTTCCTTTTGCAACTTGATTTTCTTTTAATAACAACCTCTTCTTTTTGATGTCGGCGTAAGTAAAGTCTGTGTCCCGTCTTTTTGAGTGTAAGTTCTATGTTCATTGACGAGAACCAGGTTCATAATGTCTTTCATCAAAACTGCTTGAGTTATCACAACTGTATAAATCCTACGTCTAGCGAGTTTCTCTAGCACTCACTCAACAAAATCACAAGTTTGTCTCAGTTGTATACACATGCTAAAGGGTCTTAATCTTTTCCATCTAGTCACGACCTGCATGGAACCCTAGGTGTCCATGTACCGCACCGAGATGGTGCCTGATCCAACCACACTCATAATCACTTATCTCTAAGCTCACATCGAACTCTAACCAATTATCATCAAAATAGAAAGTGTATAGTTACCATATCTACATATCTCATTTGCTAGCCTCTCCAATAATCTCTTAGGGTAACTCAGTAAATCATTATATATCATATATCGTATATTATATTATAAGTGGAAAGCTTCCAAGTTAAAAGTTGATTACGAAAATGTCCCTATAAAGTCATAATAGTATGGACAAAAATGTGAATACACATTAATAATTATAATAAATACGATCATTTTCTTTAAATACTATTATTATATATTTATGGACAATATATATATACACACACATTAATTATAATATATACTTTGCCTTAAGTCCGCCAATAATTTCTTAACATTATTGTACACAAATGTAAATTTACTATACAAGTGATTCATAAAAGCTACTGCACATTCATGGTATGACTACAAAAGGACAATATTTACTATACAAGTGATTCTTAAAAGTTACTGCACATTCATGGTATGAATACAAAAGGACAATCACATTTATATTTATTAACTCTTCCATTTCCCCCTAATGCATGAAGATAACCACATAAGATAAATAAATTAATATTCCTCCATTATTCATTAATTAATGCACATCCTATATCACATAGTTGTGATTGAGGTGGATTCTTTTTATCTAGCGATTGAAAGATAGGTAAATCTAATTACAATGTTCTTTTCTAACCCCCTAAATCAGTTGAATTTCACTGTTTTTAAAAAATAACCTGATATATTGTTATCATTATACTTGAATTTATGCATATTATGTGGTTTTGTTATATGCATACAATAGTTTAGTACTGGGATATTTACTGTTAAGTGTGATTAGCAGATGAAAAAGTACAAATGAAACATGAAGAGATATTGTTATCATCAAGGCTCATTATCAATTTCAAGAAATTTTGGAAGGAGATGATTAAAAATAACGAGATATTATCACCAGATGATACATGTTGAAACAGCAAACAAGGAGCAGTTCAAATGATAAGTCTTACTGTTCCAGATGTTTTGATGATCTTCACAAATGTAGGGACCCGGTCCTCTGCAGAGTGTTCTCGTCTAGGGCAATTTGCCATACAGCTAGAAAGCTGTCTCGTCAGAGGTTGGTGAGGCGCCAGCGTACTGAACCAATCAGAATGGACGAGGTTGTTTGTCCATCAGTTAATTAAATCAACTTTAAGGTTACCTTTTGCGATAGAGAATATCTTACTAAAACAAGAAATTTATGCAATGTAAGCTTTGTTAGTCTTTATCTATTTGATTTAAGTGGTTTTATTCTACTCTAATATTAATAATGATACTCATTTCTTTAGATTTTTGAAGTCCTTATGATCTTTATATTATAAATTATGAAGCACAAATTTTTTATTATTTTTATCTAAATGACATGGTTATCGTATATTTGTAAAGGCATGTGTTTGATCCTTCAACTTCTATGGTTTGTGTGACTTGAAAGTATGACTTTACATTAATAATCAAAATCATCTGGTTCAAGATTTTGTGATTTCCTCTCAACTATCTTTAGCAAGTTTATTTTTTCTTTTTCTAAAAAAATGAGGGTGGGGAAGGGGAAATGGGGGAGAGGATTACAATGTCTGGACTCGAATCCTCTCCAACTAGCTAAGGTGGAAGTTCAGATAACCAACCAAACTAAGTTACTAAGATTTTCCTTTGCAAGTTTGGTTCACTGCTTTAAACATAGCATATTTTGTATGTAATATTTATTTTTGTATACTCAAACATACTTCTAAATAATATATGAACACATCGTTTTATTTTTAAAATTACTTATTACAATATAGTATGATAATACCTAATTGGTTGTTTCATATTTTATCTGTCTATCTATATGCATGTATTTTGTTAGAAGTGTCTGGCGCAATTCCAACTGATAGTAGCAAACCAGTGGAAACAATAAATGATTTTAGCTAGGATCATGCAAGTACCGAGCAAGAGATAGTACAAGCGAATGACATTGTCAAAACTTCTGTTGAAGATCAGGAAGAAGCAAGTAAAAATATGGACAAATCTCAGGAAGCAGATAATGAACAAAGCTTGGAGAATAAGGAGCTAATAATTGATAATGTTACCTCAAAGCAGAATGTGGAGAACCAGCAGCAACACCATGATAAAAGCATCGAGACGAGTAATGAAAATGCAATCTACAAGGTAGATAGTACAGAACAATCAGGACAACAATGTCAAGAATAGTATAATGAAAAATGTAATCCGACAGTAGTTGAATATCCAATTATTGTTGCACAAGAGAATGCAACAATTTCTCCTTTGAAAGTTCTAATGGACATTGTTTCACACTCATTAGTTGAAAGAATTCCTCAACCACAATCACATCCAAAACAATCTCAACAACATAGTTGTTCTAGCAGCACAGAGGAAGTTGATTCACATTCTATAAGTGAGGCACCACATAAGATGTAAAAATATCAGTTACAACAACTATCTAGCAGTACAGATGCAGTTGATTAAAATTTCGAAGATGACGATGCACCACCTTTGATTCAAGGTCAACAAGTACAACAACAGAATGGTTCTTCCAATTCTAAAGAAGGGTCATTTGATGAGAGTAATAAGAATGGAGAGGAGGTCTTTCTCAAAAGCAACAAATCTGGCAAAAAAGAGAAGAATAGTAGCATTTCTATGGGGAGTTTGCCTACTAGGACAAGTTCAAGAAGAGGCTTGCAGAAGAACAAAGATTAATGATGAAATTCTTCTTTTGGAATATAAAATCGGTAAAGACACAAAAAGCTATTCAAAGGGTTCAAATGCTTAATAAAGCACATAAATTCAATTTTATTGCTTTAATGGAACCTTTTAAAAATGCTAGTGTAATCAACAAATATAGGCGGAGATTAAGCATGCATTTTACAAAATCCAATTTTAATGGCAAAATCTGGATTTTTGTCAAAGAAGGTTTTCAAGTTGATTTTATTTTGGATGCAGCATATCACTATCAAGGTTCAAGATACTATTTTGAATAAGGATTTTTTCGTAACACTTGTCTATGCAAAATGTGATGGTGTGCAAAGAAGGGCTTTGTGGGAAGACATTTATCAGTTGCATAATTCCATGAGTCTTCCATGGATTATTGGTGGGGATTTCAATGTGGTGCTAAATGCCGAGGAGAAGTTAGGAGGTCTTGTTGTACAACCTGCAGATGTAGATGATTTTTCTAATTGTATTGGAGATTGTGACTCACAAAAGTGCCTTTTAGAGGTAGTCCTTTCACATGGTGGAATGGTAGAGCTGCAGAAGACTGTATTTTTGAAAGGCTGGATAGAGTGTTAATTAACCATGAATTTCAAAATTGGTTTAATCATACCGAGGTTGAACATCTTTCTAGGATTGGATCAGACCATGCCCCTATGTTACTAAACTGTGAAGAACATGTGGTGAATATTTGTAAACCTTTTAAATTTCTTAACTTTTGGGTAGAACATGAGTCTTTCAAACAAGTTGTGAGACAAAACTGGTGTGCTGCTAATGATTTTGATAATCTATTTTTTAGCTTCAAAGAGAAGTTAAAGAAGCTGAAATCTTAACTTACTTCATGGAGTAAAGAGGTGTATGATGATATTTTTAAGCAATTAATAATTAGAGAGGACATTGTCAAGATCAAAAGAAGTTATTCGAGGAGGATCCTAGTAGTTTAAATAAAGCAGCGGTGCAAAAAGCACAAGCCGAATTCAAAAAGTATTTACTTTTTGAAGAAGAATATTGGAAGCAAAAAACAGGTTTTACTTGGTTTGAAAGGGGAGAAAGAAATACGAGATTTTTTCATAGTCTAGTGAAAGGAAGAAGGAAGAGATTACATTTGTCAAAATTCATAATGAGCAAGGGGTTCTTTCGGAGGACAAGTAGATGATAAAAGATGAAGCTATAAGATTCTATAGAAACAGTTCTCTCAGGAAAGGGATGCCGAATATTTTTCTCTTCTCAGGCACATTCCACATGTTATTTCTGAAGAAAATAATGCTTTAATTAGAATTATGCCATCCATGGATGAGGTTAAAAAAGCTGTTTTTAATCTTAATGGTGACAGTGCTAGTGGTTCTGATGTCTTCACAGGTCTTTTCTATCAGAAGTGTTGGGAAATTATTGGATCAGATTTATATAGGATGGTGGATAGCTTTTTTGTAGGCAATACTCTCCCAAAATTCATCACCCATACCAATCTAGTGTTGTTGCCTAGGAAGAATGATATACACTCATTTTTAGATCTTCGACCTATAAGTTTGAGTAACTTTGTTAACAAAGTTATCTCAAGGGTTATTCATGACATGCTAGGACTGGTGCTACCTAGATTGATCTCCTCTAATCAGTCAGGTTTTGTGAAGGAAAGAAACATTATTGAAAATGTTTTGCTTACTCAGGAAATTTACTTCTGACATCACAAAAAGGGGAAAACCATCAAATCTTATCATTAAGCTTGAGATGACAAAAGCTTATGATAGAATATCATGGTTTTTTTAATGAAAGTATTAAGAAAGATGGGTTTTTCAGTGGTGGTTGTTGATTAATTTGGAGAATTATTGCAAATAATTGGTACTCAGTATTGGTAAATGGACAGGCTCAGTGTCACGCCCCGAGCCTACACCCTGGACGTGGCTAGCACTCGAAGACCATTGCTAGCTTCAAGCGAACCCTTGGCCTGGCTTACTAACTCAGCGGAAAACTCTAAACATTATTACAATGATCAAATGAACTTACTCAAATAGCTTGGTAAAATAACTTAGAATGTTTTAAAGGTCAACATTCAACTTGGCCATAATGGCAACTCAAGTCTTAACATATGAAATGAAATGTAAAGACAACTGAACTACTAACTGTTTTTGAAGCCTCTAAAACAAAGAGGGATGTTGGGACAAGACCCCCTGCCGCGCCCCATTTTTTTGCAAAACGGGTTTTGGTGCACGACCTAACAACTGTTTTGGGCTTTGGGTGGATTGAAGATAAGCGAAAAGACATAAATTGCACAATCAAATAGAATAATCAAATTTTATTTTTTGTTAAACTACCCCAAATAATTATAATTATTATAAACATATAAAAGGGAGAAGGAAAGGGAGACTCTGACAACTTTACCAATCAGCACTCGGCCTTTTATTTTGGGACAGACAAAACAAATGTTTGTCGTTTACGGCTCGAGGCAATGTCATCATCTCCATAGGGCCTAAACTACCCCTACCTCACCACCGCATGCTTTTCGTCCTAAAAGGTGCTTATCGTCCTGACTTAATGTTCAAGAGGCATTGGACTATTAATAAGGAGGTTTTAGACTAAAAAAATAAAATAAATGTTCCTAATAGGCCTCCTAGACACCAAGCAAAACAAGTTGGACGATCATTTAGCATGTAAAGTCTCATGTTGGCCTCTAGATTTTATTATTAGCATGCTAGCAAACACACGTAATTAGTGAGAGGTCTCATTACTAAGTGTGTGGACATATGATCAAAGAGCAAGTATTGACAGTAAATTGAGCAGGCAGGGATATTATGAGGAAAACAGTGGCTAAAGTAATTCAACTAAACAATCTCGCATAGAGCTGATTTTAAAGTCTTAGATGATCGAGTGGCAGAAAGTTGTTAATTAATATGCAGAAATTGATTTAGTAGCTTATCTTAAGTGGCAAAACAGTGCAGAAATTAATTCGAACAATATTTAATCGGGGCAGAAAGTAGCAGATGCAGAAACTTAATTTTAAGTGGCATAACAAGACAAAAGCAGATTTTCGTTAACAATAGTTTAGATTTTAGTTCAGGAAATATTGTTATGCTGGTTCAACTCTTAAAATGCGGGAAGATATTAACCACTCATAGTGCAGGAAATATGCAAATAAGTTAGTTTTGTTTTGTTATTAACATTTTAGAGGGCTATCTAAATTATTTTAAGTGGCAGAAGCTATGCGTAGCAGACTTATCTCGGTGAACAACAAAGTGTATAGCAGATTTAAATCAGTTTTGAACATACCGAAAATCATTTTTACTTTATTTTACGTTGTAGAGATTAATTGCATTGCAGAAATTATGTACCAGTGGACAGGAAATGTGCATAGTTTTATTTCAATTATTTAACATGCTGGAAATTATTTGATTACGCCTATGAACATGATTTCTAGGCGATTGAAAAGTTGTATGCATGGCTCCTATAGGCATAGTTTCTAAATATGAACATGCTGAAAATCATAGTAATATTCAGAAAAACCTATAGGCATGATAACTAAGTGTGAACATGTTGGAGATTATTAATAAAGCTCGCATTAACAGATAACAATTAAGGCAGATCAGTACTTAAAAGATTCAGATTTTACTCCTTTTAAATTCATCAATCATGCTGAAACTAGTGTATTATTAAAATCAACTACTTATTTAACATGTTGAAGTAGTTCCTATAGGTATAATTCTAAATATAGACATGCTCAATTACATGCTGACATGCAAGATTTGTTAAACTAGGTGAGATGATATATGATACAAATAACATGAAATATTAACAAATTTAATTCGAAAGTAGGTGATTTTAACAAAGTTAATGAATGAGATTAATTCTGCAATTTATTCATTTATTTAATCTTTTCTAACATGCTTGCATAATAATCTGAGGCGTTGATAAGGCAAGTAGCACATTTATTCCATTAGTTATTTAGAATGTGATAAAATATGTTTTAATCTAACATGTTAAAACAGTTTATGGGCTAGTTATTATCACAACACAAATAGACTCAACATATATAAGTAAAGCAATTAGCACATAAATCCCACTCCCCTCTTAGGCGATCCCCCAAATATTTCATATATATGTACTAGAGAGTTAGAGAGTTATTACAAGATTATTACAGAACCGAATAGGAATAAACCCAACAACAACAAAATTAACTTAAAACAAAAATAAAAACTCCATGAAAATCTCTTAACAGGCGACTCTTCAACTTGAACAAAATGTCCAAACCTGCTGAAGAAGATACGAGTATATACAATACACCAAGACAATAATACTCGCATAATATTACTTATTTCAACATATAGGTGAAAAACAGACATACACGCATTCTGGCTAATCAAGGGTAGCATAAAATCGCACATAGAGCAAAAGGGATAAGAAACTGACCTGGATGCTTCCTTCTGTTCGTTTTCGAACATACAACAAACATACGATAATCATGATAGATGATGCAAGACGAAATTTAAACTAATGAAGGAGAGCTAACCGATTATCCAGAGTAGAGTTATCAGCAATGCAGACGAACTTAATTCAAATAGACCCGTACACAGCAAAAAACCGAGTAAAGCCGCAGTTAGAATGTTTATCGGAATCTTAATTCTTTTAAGATTAGAGAGCAATATTTGTTTTTTAGTATTCAAGTATGAGCGAAGTCAAGATGATCAAATAATGAGGGGAGGAGTCCTATCTATAGTCACTGAAATACGGGCAAATAAGGAAAAGGAATAAAGGAAATCAATTAATATTATTTTCCTTATTTCAAAGGAGAGCCAAATCAAATTTATTAATTTTTTTTTTACCAAATATAGGGCAAAACTGAAATCAACCAAATTATTCACCAAACCGGTAGGGATTTCTAAAAATAGAGTAGTAAGAATCAGTTCAAACCATAATTAAGGGGAGGGGGATCAATTTGCAGCACTATAAATTAATAAATATAAAATCAGCACAAGGAAAGAAATAATACATGCTTTACCATAATTTCAGACTTACCATAGGTAAGGGGTCGAGCAAATTACACCAAACTAATTACACAAAGTCATGAAGGTTAGCAGTATACGAAAGTTTAAATCACAGTAGATGAGCAATTTGACCAGGCAATTAGCTAAGTTAACAACTTTAAGAGATCCTAACAGATATGAGGAAACAATTAACAAGTCACAATTACACATATATTAAGGGGATAAATCAGCAATGTAAAATATCGAGGAAAATCAAGAATAATTATCTAAGGAAGAACAAATGTGATTCTCAATCAATTAAGACTAAAAAAAAATGATTTTTTACCATATAGAAATTAGTCAAAGGAATTCATAAACTAATGACTTTACTATATCAACACAGAGAATGTGCAAATTGTCGGTTAGAGTAGACTTAAATGCAGCAAGTGTGCTAAAACTTCACGATTCGAAGCCTAACAGATCATAATAGAAACGATGAGCAAGAGTTTGACCGAGAATTGCAACCTAAACATGCTTTCTAAGAATCAACAAGAAATATAAGCACATGATGACATGTTATAAACTCACCATATTTTAAAATCAAGAACAAAGTGTTAAAATGAATAAAATAAACTTACTCAGACGGATCTGTCAAAGATTCGTCTTAAAACTCAAAAGAAAAACTTCAAATGTTTGCCGGAGTTCGCTTTCTTCGGAGCTCGCCTAGTTGCTGGTTGGAACTGCTGTCGTTGTCGTTCGTCGCTGCTGGACGGAGCAGTTGTTGCTGCTATTTTCTCACCGAGCTGCTGCTTCGCCGGTCGGAGCTACTGGAGTTGTTGTTTGTTGTTTTCGCCAGAGAAAAGAGAGGAGAGAAGCAGAGGCGGCCAACGACTGCTGGCCTCGCTGGAGCCGCTGTTTGCCTCGCCTGGATGTTGTTTTCATTGCTGCTATGGCAGCGAGAAGAGAGGAGAGCAGAGAAGGAGGAGAGACAGAGGCGGAGATGAGATGAGGGGTGAGGGAGAAGAGGAGAGGGGAACGACCTCTCCTCCGATTTTTGTTGGAGGTTCCCCATCACCGGTGGTTCTTCGCCGGCTACTGCTGGTTCTCGTCGGAGAAGACGGGTGAGAAGAGAGGGAGAGAGCAGCGGCGCTAAGGGAGAGAGGAGAGGAAGAGAATGAGAAATCTTAGGTTTAGGGTCTTCTTTTGAAATAAAATAGGAAGGTTAGGTAGATTTAATCTGGACCGTAGGATTATCGTCGATTTTTTAAGAACTTTACTTCTATTGCCACTCACTTGACTAATTTGACCAAAAAGGAGATACCATTTGAATGGACTAAAAAATGTGAAGAGAGCTTCCAAAAGCTAAAGACTCTCTTGACCACCGCACATATTCTAGCATTACCGGTGGAAGGTAAGGATTTTATTGTTTATTATGATGCTTTTCATTTTAGGTTGGGTGTTGTGTGTTGATGCATGATAAGAATGTTATAGCTTATGCCTCACGTCAATTGAAGGTGCATGAGAGAAATTATCCAACACATGATTTAGAGTTGGCAGCGGTAGTGTTTGCTCTTAAGATATGGCGGCATTACCTTTATGGTGTTAAATGTGAGGTATTTACAGATCATCGTAGTTTGCAGTATGTGTTCACTCAAAAAGATCTGAATTTGAGGCAGCGAAGGTGGATGGAGTTACTTAAAGATTATGATGTGACCATTTTATACCATCCGGGCAAGGCTAATGTGATGGCAGACGCTTTGAGTCGAAAAGCGGTGAGTATGGGTAGTTTAGCTAGCTTGAGTGTAGCCAAGCAACCTTTGGCTAAAGAAATTCAGACCTTAGAGTCTAAGTTCATGCAATTGGGCATCTCAAAAAGAGGTGGGGTGCTAGCTAGTATTGAGGTAAGGGTCACTTTCATTGAAGAGATCAAGGCCAAACAATTTGAAGATGAGAATTTGGAAGAACTGAAGAAAAACACTGCGATTGGTAAGGCACAAGAGACCACTCTTGATGCGGATGGTGTGCTAAATTTTAAGGGGAGAATATGTGTTCCTAGAGTAGATGACTTGATTGAGAAATTGTTGGCAGAGTCTCATGGTTCGCGATATTCTATTCATTCGGGTGTGACCAAGATGTATAGAGATTTGAAGCGAATTTGTTGGTGGCCGGGCATGAAGAAAGACATAGCGGAGTTTGTGGTGAAGTGTCAAAATTGTCAATAAGTGAAATATGAACATCAAAGGCCTGCAAGCTTGCTTCAAAGAATGTCAATTCCGGAATGGAAGTGAGAAAGAATAGCCATGGATTTTGTGGTTGGTCTTCCCAAGACTTTGGGGAAGTTTGATTCTATTTGGGTAGTGGTTGATAGATTGACTAAGTCAACCCACTTTATTCCAGTAAGAATAGATTATAATACTGAACAATTGGCTAAAGTTTATGCGAAAAAGATAGTGAGGTTGCATGAGGTGCCCCTCTCTATCATCTCAAACCGTCGTACCCAATTCACATCCAAGTTTTGGAGGAAATTACATGATGAATTGGGCACACAACTCACTTTTAGTACATCCTTTCATCCACAGACGAATGGACAGTCAGAGAGGACTATTCCAGTGTTGGAAGACATGTTGAGGGCATGTGTGATTAATTTTGGAGGGCATTGGGATAAGTTCTTACCTTTGTGTGAATTCTCCTATAATAATAGTTATCACTCCAGCATTGATATGGCACCGTTCGAGGCACTCTATTGGAGGGGATGTAGATCACCCATAGGATTGTTTGAGGTTGGCGATGTGAAACCTTTGGGGGTTGATTTAGTGAAGGATGCTCAAGATAAGGTGAGGAGTATTCAAACTAAGCTTTTAGCAGCCCAGAGTACACAAAAGAAGTATGCAGATCATAAGGTAAGAGACATGACGTTTCAATCCGGTGAAAATGTTCTTCTTAAGGTATCACCGATGAAAAAGATATGATATTTGGTAAGAAGGGTAAGTCAAGTCCGAGATACATTGGTCCATTTGAAATTCTTGAATGTGTGGGACCGATAGCATATAGATTGGCTTTACGTCCTAATTTATCAAGTGTTCATCCGGTATTTAATGTATCCATGTTGAAGAGGTATCATGGTGAGGGGATTATATCATTAAGTGGGACTCAATTGTGTTAGACAAGGACCTCCAATATGAAAAAGAACCGATTGTAATTATTGATCGTGATGTACGTAAGTTGAGGACCAAGGGGATTAAGTCCGTGAAAGTTCAATGGAAGCATCGTCCAATTGAGGAAGCTACTTGGGAAACCGAGAGGGACATGCGAGACAAGTATCCCCAATTGTCCGTCGATTCAGGTACTACTTCATTCGTTCCTTAGCCTATTTTCCTAAGTTTTGTTACTCGAGACGAGTGATGGGTAAATTGGTATCTATTGTAATGACATGTTCCTGTCGTTATAGAAAAGCCAATGGGGGAAAATTTGGGGCCGGAAAACTTTTTCGTAGTACTTGGATTTTCCCAACCTTGTCCAAATTTGGACGAAATCGAAGTCATTGAGGTGTAGGGAAATCTAGTAACAATCGGGTGAACATTTATGATTTTGATTACTTGAGTAGTTAGATAACTCGTTAAGGAATCCGTACGACTTTACGGAATTGAATTCGGGCGAGTAGAACTCCCGGAATCGATCTTAGCGTAAAGGGTATTTACTGAGCGTCGTGGGTTAGAGGTGTGTTGTGAAATGGGAATTTTGGAATTCTTGAAATAGCTCTCTATTTTGTTTTGGCTGCTTTGGTTGGGGACTTTTGCCTCTTTGGCATCGCCGCTGTGACGGGCCCGACACGAATTAAAGTCGTTAATAAACCCCTAAACGACCTCATTATGCACTTTTTGAGCTAAGGAACGACCCCCAGGCGACTCCTAGTCGTTTTTCACCATTATTGAGGCTAAAGGTAAGCATTTCTCTCCCCGAATCCGTTCTTCAATCCGTAGAACGTAATATAATGGGTGAATATTGATGGGGGAAGGTTTTGTTATAGATTCTACGGTGGAAACAACCCTAATTTGGATAATTGGGATCATGGGTTTGATCTAGGGTTCATAGAATTGTCAGTAATCCAGGTAATTAGTGATTGTTTATTGATTCCCGTATTATATTGA